GAGGTGCAGATGGGAGATGGGAAACCTAAATTGTGTTAGAACAGGTGTTGGAGGAGGCAATTCTGCACCATTCCTTTGGGACAGCACAAACTGGACAACACCAGTTTTATCTTGAGGCTTATTTCCATTTCTTTCCCACACAGCCCAGTTGTGAATGCATTGCCCCTGCCAAGCCTGCACCTTTTCACCAGGAGCACCTCTCACAAAGCACTTTCCAAACCATCTGTGTCTTCTACTCAACCATTTCCAGTTCACAGAACCACAGAATATCCTGAGGTGTGACCTCTTGGGCTTCAGGAGCTCTTCCTCATCACTTTCAAAGCTCACTGGGTGCTTCCACTCCTTGTACTTCCCAAACAGCTCCCAGTGCTGACGCTCCCCTGCTGGGTTTAGGGAACAGCCCAACACACCCCCCTGGCAAAGCTGTCCTGCTCTCCATATCAGGAGGAATTAACATGGAAGAGGGAGCACAGATTTCCAGGCTTTTCATTGACAGACTCATGGCTGTCAGACACAGAAACCCCCCAAGTGCCCCAGCTCTGACACACACACTCCCAGCACCCCAAACCTTGTATTTTTTCCTCCCCATCACCCACTAACCACCCCCAAGATGTGAAAATCTTCATCTCTTGGTCCTAATCACTGTTGGTGGGTGGAATTGGCCTGGTTTCACTCATCAGCATAATTTCGCCCTTCTCCACCTGGGGGCTGCTGCTGAGCCAGTGGGAAGTTGAGCCACTGCTGCTGATAACGGGCCCCTCTGACAGAAGATTGTAAAGCATTTGCTTCCAGGGAGGAACCAAGTGAACTGTGAAGGAGAAAAACATACCCTGCAACACCCAGAGAACTCGGTATTCATCACCCCGAGGGAAAGCAAACATGCCTTTGGAAAGAGAGCCCCAGACAGGCAGAAATCTTCCTATCCAAGGTAAATTTAAGATGCTGCCAAATCCACCTAGTACAGGCCAGTGAGAGAAGGAGGAGGCTGTAGGTGCATCTTCAGTGGTGCTCTCCCCACAGCCCCACCTCCCACACTGAGACACCTTCCCCAGTTGTCTCCAGCCTCCCCCAGTTGTTTCCAGCCTCCCCCAGTTTGGCTGGCACTGCAGCAGGGGAGGAATGGGTGAGTTATTCCCCAGGCAGATTCATGGCAGCAGCAATTCCTTCCCACCAAGAGTACCACACATCCCCTCTCCACAGGAGGCCACTTGTGCTGGGACTTTCTCTCCTTCCCACCAAAGCCTGGAGGGGGTGGAAGAGTGAGTGGTACCAGGGCAAACCAGCCTGGAGCACTGACTTACCAAATCTCAGATAGAGCCAGCACAGGCTGCTTCAGACCATTTGCAAGGGGGAGAGACAGAGGATGCTCCAAGGAAGGCAATTTGTTCTGCCCAGGTCCCCTGGAGCAGTGAGCTGTGGGACAGAGCCTCCTCCTTCCCAGGCTGAGCCATGCCTGGGGTGCCCAGGTGCGGCACAGCCCCAGACAGGAAAAAAGCAGCTTCCTCCTCCTGCAAGCTCCATTGGAAGCCCAAATTCCAGCCTGCATGGGCTGCAGGAACAGCAAGATGCCAGGACATCACCAGGATGCCCATGAAATACAAACCCAAGGGCACAGGTGTACAAATCCCTTTTGAGGAGCTTTGGGATAAGGAGATTTTTTGTTAAGTATTGTCCAGACCAAAGATCCCAAGTGGGGTTTTCAGCACAGGTGATCCTTCCAGCCCTGCTGCCCTTGGCTCATGGGAATTTAATTATGACAAATCCCTTCAAGCCACTTTGGCAAGAAAACACAGACCTGCCTGCCCCTTGCCCACAAACAGGAGCTCCTGAAACTCCTGAAGGGCAGAGCCAAGTGATTTCAGTTGTCCCCTGAAGTGAGTTTTGGACAACCAGCACCTCCTGGGCAAAGCAGGGCTGCCCCATGGGTGCCCACACAGCATGCCATCCCCACACCTTAGGGACACCTTTGTCACGGGCAGCCAGTGCCACCACATCTGGATACACCACAGCGGCTGCTCGAGGGGAGGCAAACACAACACGTGCTGGAAAACCAGCTGCAGCACCTCCATCCAGGCCTTTCCTCCCCCTCAGCACCGTGTGGCTGCAGGAATCCTGTGCATTAAATCCTGTTAGGGATCCTCTGCACGGTTTCACCCCAATGGAAGAGCCACGGCGCTGCCGACAGCGCCTTTGTCGTACGCGGAGAGCGGCAACTCCACAGAAACGCTCCTGGCTCACCCTGTGGGAGAAAACAGCCCAGAAAACGCTCTGCAAGGCACTCTCTGTGCCTGCTAACCCGGCATGAATAAGCAGGTACCAGATGCACGATCCTGCAGGAGACAAACCAGCTGAGCTCAGGCAGCAGAGCCGAGGAGCCGCCGTGGCTTCCCAATGCCAGCGCTATTAAAAAGTGCATTAACCCACATTAAAATCATGGCTGCAAAAGGAAGGAGCGGGGGGAGAGCCCAACAAATCCCGGCTGGATCCCGCTCACAAACTTCTCCAGCCCCGCTAGCAAAGTGCCATTTGACCTGCAGGGACTGACAGGGTCCGTGCGAGCAGGGAGGGATGCGGGAAGGCCGGGAGCAGCTTCCAAATCGCGGCTGTGCCCGGCCCCGCTGCTGCCCTGCTGTACCAGGGAGAGTTCCGATTTGTTCAGCCAGAAACCCACACGGAGGACACAGTGGGTTTCTTTTGTGCAGCAGCAAAGGCAAATGCAAACACAGCTTTCTCCCCGAAGGAATATTAGCACAAGCAGAGAGCGAGGGGAAGAGAAAAGGGGAAGGGAGGACAGTGTAGGAGCCCAACATCATATCCGAGCCCAGAAAAAGAGGAGGGAAGGATAACCAGGAGCACAGACACCACAAACAAGGCATCCCTGCTCGGGGAATAGGGTGAAACCCAGCGTATGGTGGGGGATGTTCAGCACTAATATCTGGCTGAGCAAAAAACCAGCTGCCCGTGGAGAAGCACTACTCTCTCCAAAAGTTTTATCCTTCATTTAATCAACAGATGGACTAGCTGCGTGGGTTTGGGGTTTTTTTATCCCTTTTTTCTTTTTTTTCCCAAGCATCCCCAAGCCGTACCCTCACAAAAGCTGGCGTGGGGACCACGGCGGCGTGACACAGATGGGATTTGACACCGGCGTTGGGGGGGATGAGCAGCACAGAGGCGAAGCCGGGGTCTGCCTGCAGCTCAGCGTTCTCCACAGGTGACAGATAGTCCAGGGAGCAGGCACACAGCAGCATGCCAGATACAGCTTCCCAAAACGCACCCCCTTCCCAAATCCTTTTTTAATTTTTTTTTAAATTTATTTTTTGCGTGGGAACCAGGCAGGTTGTAAAGTTGCGGGGTGAATTCCTGCGGGTTCCCACGCTCCTGCCCGCGCAGTGGGGAGGTGGGATGGGGCGGTGACACCCCCGCGGGGTGCCCACCTGCCCCGGGCTGGCTGCATTGGAAGCAACTCTCCTTCCTCGTACCCTCCCCGGCACAAATCGCTCCCTAGCCCGGCTCCACAGCCGCAGGCTCCCGTCCCCGGGCTGGAGCCGCTGCCGCCAGCCCGAGCGGCTCCTCCGCTGCACCCAAACTGAGCATCCATCGCCCTCCTGCACCGGGGGAAGCACCGGGCGGCGATGGGGGCGAGGGGAGCGGGGGGGCGAGGGGGCTGTTACTCAGCCAAGCCGTGTTTACACACAAACACGATCCAATTTACCGAGCTGGAACAGAAAGCACTCATTTGCATACTAAAGATTTTTTTGCTTATTTTTAAAGGAAAGAACGGTAAGCCGCCTCGGCGGGGATGCAGGAGGGAAAAACTCTGCAATCCCCCCTCTCTCCCCCGCACCCTTCTCCCCTCGCAAAACCCGCACCCCACCCCGAGCCGGGGACCCCCACCCCGGCTCCTCCCGCCCGCCCCGCTCGCAAAGTGCGGGGTCCTACCGTGGCTGAGCAGGAGGCACCCGAGCAGGAGGAGGAGGAGGTCTGCCTGGAAAGCGCTCATTCCTCAGGGTGGGCTCGGGCGCGGGGCTCCGCTGCCGCTGCCGGCGGGGGCTTCAGGCCGCCGCCCGCCGGCTCCGCTCGCGCGGCTCCATCGCCGCCCCCCCAGCTCCTCCCCCGGCAGCGCTGCCTTCACTGGCGGAGCCTCGGCGGCGCAGCCCGGCTTTTGGAGCGGGGGGGGAAGGGGAGGGAGGCAAAGTGCCGGGGAAAGGGGGAGTAACTTGCGCGCAGCCGGCTGGGCGCGGGGAGGAACGTTCGCGCATCGCCCCCTCCCCAGAGCGCTGCGCGCCCAGGCGGGGGCGAGGGTGGGCTGGGGGCTGCTCCTGCCTCAGGTGTGCCGGAGGAGGGGATGCTCGCCCCCCTCCCGGGGCTGCCGCCGCCCCAGCGGGAGCGCGGACACCTGCACGGCTCTGCCCGGCTCTGAATTTGAGGTGGGGGGGGTCGGTGCCCATCAGTCACGGCACCCCGGGACCCCTCCTACAGTCCGTGCCTTCCCGGGGGGGCGCCTGGAAGGAGAGGGGGGCAGCCAGAGCCTCCCCCTGAAATAGAGGGGGGTACTCCTAAAATCCCGGGAAAAGAGAGAGCGACATAATGTGTGTATATTGTCCTCCCCTGGGAGATAAATTATATCCAACGACCTCCCGCAAGTCCAGAGGGAGCTGGAGATGAGGGGTGGGGAGTCCTCTGGAAGACCCCCAGAGCTGCACCCTCATTTCCTCCAGGAGGGGAGTAGTATCTCTTCACACCTCCCTAAAAACATACATTGGAGCTGGGAATGAAAAATAAAAATATACCTCCCCCCCAAAGTTTTGTTTGTAATGTTGGGACCCTGTGCAAGCCCTTCCCACTGTCATTTTGCAGGACTGGGGCAAGGGACAAAAGGGCCTTTTCTCTTCTTTAATCACTATTTTTATCCTTTTGGGGTAGCTTTTTTTGTTTGCTTGTTTTGGTTTTTTGGGTTTTTTTTTACCTTCTTTTATTTCATTTTCACCCACCAGGAGTTTGGGGGCAGAGCAGAGGTGCCCAAAAATCAAACCCAAACAATAAAATCATTGCTTACCACTACACTTTATATGCCTACTGATACCAGAGCCTCCCTCATCACCAGTCTGAGGGGCAAGTGAGGATGGCTGAGGCAATTATTAAACCAAAATGAGAAAGTAATTACAGCTGTGGACTCTAATTACTGCAAGGTGAGTTTGAAAAAAGGCTGCACACTTCTTCCTGCTGTTCTGGGGCTTCCTGCTTACCTTGGTGGGACCATGGCTAAACTGTGGTCAAACCGTAGCTACCAGCTGTGGGCTGGCTAAAAAAGGATAACTTTCAAAAATCCACTTGTGCTAACAAGCTAAACTGGTGCCAGGTGGTTAAACCTGGCTTAGGAGCAGCGTGGAGCTGAGTTTTATTGATTGAAACACAAGCACCGCACGCAGGCTCTGCTCTCAGCGCGGGGGGAGTCACCCTGCAAATAAAGAGCTTTTATTATTATTTTTAGCCTGCATCCCTAAGGAAATCAAGCTTATTTGGGTTTGTCCACGTGTGCTGGTTTGCCCATCCCTGCCTGCTCATGTTCATGGGAGGAAGAGGTGCAAAAGTGGGGCTGGCTGCTCAGAGCTGTCCTATTCCTGCATTTCTCCACTCTAAGGGACAGTGGCACTCCTGGAATGCATTTTCCACCAGGACATCACCTCCAGCCCTGGCAGGGATGCTGGCAGTGGCCACAGCCACAGTGGTGTCCCCATGCCTGGCAGGTTACAGGTGGTGCATTTTTTGGTGTATTTTTTTCTGGCGGCAGCCCTGATTTAAATGTGCGTGGAATAAATTGCTCAGTGCCTGATTTCAGTGGGAATTAGATTTCTAAATAATTCCAAGGCTCTCCCTGTTGTGTTTCAGTTTATTCTGCAAAATGTTGTTTGCTTGCAGACGAGGGGTACTAATGTATATTAAGGCTGCTACACAAGTCAGGCTTTCCTGTGAAGCTTCAAAACACCATTAACATTTGCATGGCAATTTCTTCTTTTCCTTTCACAAAAAATATTATTCCTTGCCTGCATCCAAAACAGCAGAATTTTTAACTTCCAGGAATCATGAATATTTTTCTCTTCTTTTTTTTTTTTTTTTAATCCTTCTTCTTTCTCCTTCCCAGTGAAAACATTTCAGCTGGAAAATTCTCATCATTGCAATACTGACCTTTGCAAAGGGCTTTAAATCCTTGAGTGGAAGTAGCAGGTAAGTGCGAAGTTTTATTAACTGATTACCTCTGTGGTTTCGACTACATTGGTAGTCAAATTTGATTTAGAGGACCAGGCATGTAAAAAAAAAATCAGCTTTCTGACATAATTTTGGCTTGCTGCAGCCTGAGCAGCGTCCTGCAAGATCAGCTCCCCTCCACCTGATTCAGGAGAGCAAATCGAGTGCAAACTGATTATTAGCTGCTCCTCTCGGATATCTCATTTAAATCTGCTCTGTGTTGTGGAAGGAAATGAATCATTCCAATTAAAAAGCTGAGAAAATCAGGGAGCTGGGGGGAGCAGCCTTTGGGGAGGAATATTAAGCTGGTGCTGGGTGGCTCTGCCCTGGTGCTGGGGCCAGGGTGCATTTGCAGCTGCAAACCCCACGTGGGGTCCCTTTGCACCCCCTGCTCCCAACCTGGGCGTGCTGGGGCTGTGTCCACATCTCCCCATGGAATCTGGGGTCACACACCTGCCCTGTGCAGTATCTAAAGGCAAAGGGCAATTCCAGAAGCTGGAAAGAGCAGATGTTCAACCTCTCCCTTCCTTCTGAACATCAGTGGAGGTAAAACAGGCAAATTCCTCTTCCTCTTTCCCCCCCCCGCCCTCTTTTTTTAATTTTTTTTTCTTTTTTTTATTCCACATTGACAAGTGTAATAGATATGAAACACCACAACAATGAAAGCCCAGACTTTCTCGTGCCTTTGCCTCTCTTACTTCCAGGCTATTTACTGAGAAGTATTTACTGTGAAGTGCAAGAAACAAAATGTTCTGAAAATGCTGCAGCAAAATGGAGGGGGGGGGGAAGAGAATAATATAAAACATGTAAGCAGCTTGATCAAAATGAAGCAATATTGACAGAAAATGGGGTTTTAAGCAGCAGGACAACAGCAACTCAGATGGATTTCATTCTTGTGGTATTACAACGCTAAGCCAAGCACCTGGAAGAGAGAGAGAGAGGAAAATAATCACGTTTCCCTGGTTTAGAAAATCTTTTCCTTGTCATTTAAAAATACACATGACAAGTGAAAGCTGTGCAGAGTCCTGCTGGAAAAACATGGAGCTGGGACTTGGAGGTTTTCCCTGCTCCTGCTTCAGAGCTTCCCCTGTGGCTTTAAGGAAACATATCCCTCGTGCCTCAGTTTCCCCTCTCCAGAGCACCACTCCCTTTTGTCACCTGCTTGCAGCACAAATGCTTCCAAGGTAGGCTGACTCCTGATTGGAAAGCAAAAAAAAATGGGATAAAGGAATGGAGGAAGGTACAGCTGTCCCTCCAAATGATAGGAGAGAGGCACAGCCCCTGTCCCACACTGCAGGACCTCGCTGCAGTTTTGGGGCTGAGAGGTTGTGAAGGTGCCAAGGATATTCTTGGGAATGGCAGACTGGGGTTTTGGGGGGATATTTGGGGCTGTGTTTTTCCTACCAGCAAACCAGGGACATCGGGGCAGGAGGCTGATCTCCCAGGAGCTCACCCCATTGCTGAGATGCTCTTGGAGAGGGCAGAAAACAGGGAGAAAAAAGAAAGCCTGCTATGCTTGGCCCCAGGTAGACACAGCTGCCACCGATTTTCCCTGCAAGAGTGAAGGCAGCTGCCTCCCCAAATTCCCCAGTTCTGCCGCCCCTCTGCCCAGGACATGAGAGGAGTTCGAGTGTTCCAGCTCTGGTGCTGCCTCGCTTTCCAGAGCAACCCCAGCCAAAAGTGCCAGTCCCTTTCCACATCTCCCACCGGATCCTCTTTGAAAACAACCCAGGGAAGGCCAGGGAAGCAGATCAGTGGGAGAGCCTGGGCTCTTTTCTCTCCTTGTCTCCTGTTGCTGCCGGCTGTGTGGAGAGCTGCCAAAGCCCCTCAGCCTGTGGCACTCGATAAAGCTCTTGTACAGCGGGTCTGGAGCAATGTGGGCAGCCATAGGCAGGGCCTGGGAACTGCCAGGGGAGGGGAGGGAGAAGCTTTGAGGGTTAAAAACAAGAAAGAAAAGAGCTCTGATGGCATTTTGGGTTTGGGTGGGGAGACCTTCCTAGGCCAGCCTGGCACCCCCTTTTTCTGAGGGGAGCCAGGGGAAGCGGCTGTGGGGAAGGCTGGAGCTGGGGGTCAGGAACAGGGATGGAATTGGGACCTCTCACTGCTGTGAGAGATGTCCTGGAGGCTTCCCCTGCTCTCCAGCCTGAGCCTGCCCCAGAGCAGCTCGGTGAACTCACAGGGCCTTGTCAGATCCCCCTGGAGCAAAGCTGGGTGCAGGCACAGACTGGGCACGAGGGGCTGGAGAGCAGCACAGGGGCTGCCCTGGATGATCATGTGGGTCCCTCCAGCTCAGGATATTCTGTGATCGGTGAATTGCTGTGCTTCCCACAGCCACCCTGCTCCTCTCACAGCCTCAGGCCATCCCAGCCAGCGCTGGGGACCCTGAGGGATCAAAGGCACAGAGGTGGCCAAACCCCATCACTGACACGGTTCTTGATAGGCCCTTCCTAACTTCAGCCAGATCAGTCCCCAGGCCATTCCCTGGAGGCTTTTTGGCTGCCTTTCATGCAGGTCTTTTAATGCAAAGTTATTTTAATGCTGTGCTTTGCATTCTGCTGCTTCCCCTCTCTGTCAGGGCCGCTGCCATGCAAGGTTAAAGCAGCCGAGCTGGACCTGCTGGGATGTTGTGCACGGATGGGCTGGGTGTGCTGCTGGAAACTGGGATTTATGGGGTTTCTCTGAGGAGTTGGTGGTGCAGAGGTGAACCTCAGGGTGAAGCTCCACAAGATATTTCCTTGGATAAGAGAGAATTGCCACCATGCAACCCCTCCTTGCTGTGAACACACACACGGAGCACCAGCCAGCCTTCGGAATTCCCAGCTCCTCTTTCACTGCCCAGATGTGTGTGGGGATTGTCTCAGTGTCCTGTTACAGGAGAACTGGGGCCAGGTTTCACCCTCCACCACCTGCCCCGAGGTGGCTGGTGATATTCAGATCTGGGCAGATTCTCCCAGTCCACTGGACAACTGCTGAAACTCTGGGTTAGGGTGCTGTTTGCATGTCTGAACATGGCAGACACTGGACTGCATTAGTGCTGGCTAAGAATTGCCATCTGATCCTGGCGTTTTCCGGGCCCCACGGAACTTTCCCAGCTCGGCAGGGACGCTGGAGGGAAGGCGAGAGCTCCGCAGCTCCTCCCGTGGCTGCAGGAGGGGAGCTGGCAGCAGGAAAATTTGATGGGAAGGATGTGCTGAGGCTGCTGGACACTGTCCTCATCACCAATTATGCCTTTCAATATAATTTTTGGCGATTTTTCATCTTCCAGATTCGCTGTGGAACCTGGCTTGGACTTTTTTTTTGCTGAGGAGATAAAAACCAGTGCATTAGAAAATAATGAATGAGCTGCAAAGGGTTAAAGGGAGAATTTGTATAAAAACAATGAATCCCATTTTTGCTTGATTGGCACTTTAATTAGGCCCATGTCCTTTTGCTGCCACTGCAATCAGATTGGAGGAGAATGGGAAGCTTCCACACCGTTCTATTTATCTCAAGATTACAAGATTTACATTTTTTTTCAATGCAAAGGGGAAAAAAAAAAAAAAAAAAAAAAAAAAAAAAAGAAAAAGAAAGGAAAAAAAACCCTGCTACTTTATAAACGTGGCAAGGGAATGATATTATTTAGGGCTCGGTGAAAGTGTGGCTTCCTGATTGCAGCAAGAATTAATCTTATTATGTTAACAAGGGATTGTTATGCTAAGGAGAAGAGGGAAGAAAAGTTCTGTCTCTCAAGTCTGCCAGAGACTGCGCAGGCTCCAGAGCCAGCCTTGAATTTAAGAGCTCCAGCGAAAAGAAGAAAGCCAAAAGTCCTTGTGTTTTTACAAGGCAATTTCCCTCGTTTTCCTCTCCCTGTTTTTAGGGGGAGGTTGTAACTCCGGCTCACAGCGCCCGGGAGTCTCCTGGGATAGGCTCCAGATCAGCTGGGCTGGTAAAGAATGGTTCAGGTGTGATCTGAACTCACACCACTGTACCTGAGCACAGCCTGGAATCCCAAACAAGATCAGCCCAGACATGGAAATGGGGCTGAGCAGGGTTTTACACCCACAACTCTGGGTGTAAAGCAACCAAGACCATAAAAAACAACTCTGAGCCCATCACAGCGGGGGAAAATGGGACCCTGGAGATTTCCAGTTCCTCACCTTTGTGGGAAATGTGTGTGTGGGAAAGAAGGGTCCCTTTATCCATTGAAAAATAGAAAAAAAATTTGTTCTGCACTACTTCTGGTGCTTTCAGGTGTAACCCTGACCCTTCTTCCCCATCTCCCAATCCTGAACCCCAACATCTGCAGTCCAGGGAATGAACATTCCCCAGCATGTGTTCACATCCTCCCCGAGCTGGTTGTGTTACAGGGAGATGAGCAAGATCCTGGAGTCAATATCAGCCCCCCTTTTTCCTCTCTTTTTTCCCAGGAAGCTTTCAGAGCCCGTGATAAGCATGAGCATCTCTGGAAGCAAAAGTTGGCTGCAAAATTCCAGCCTGTTCCTGGGCTTTGCTCAAATCGAGGCAAAGGCGTTTGTTGTGCACTGGAATGGTTTGTTCTTCGAGCAGAGATAGAAATGATGCTGTTTGATTGAGGTGGCTAATTACACAGCTTGGAAAGTAAATTACAGCTATCGAATACCCCAGTGAATATTCCCTTACAAATAGGCAGAGAAGAAAATGAAATTTTTTGGGTTTGCTGGCAATTTGGAAATAAAAACATTGTCTCTGGTGGCGAATGTAAAACCAATCCCTTTCAAATTCTTCTGCAATTGCTAAATTCAAATGATGCTTTGTTGCACACCAACCAGACAGTTCACCCTGATAGCTCTAAGCTACTTTTATTTTTTCTATTTTGAGGGTTTGTGTTTCTTTGTGACTTTTGGAAACCTTTGCCCTCTCTTTACCATCTAATCTTTTCAGTGAAAAATATTAATAGCAAGTTTAAAACCAGATAAAACTGCCCAAATGGAGTAAAAATCTTTGTCATACAGAGTAAATTGCTTGGCAGAAAAAGCTTAATAGGAAAAAACCCACCCTGAGCCATCCATCTTCTCAATTAGTAAATACACAAAAGTCTGAATTTCATTCCCACAGGCTGGGAAGATTTATAAACAAGGATTAAAGTGAAGGGGAATGTAGGGAAGAGCAGCAAATGCCTGGATCGAGGCTGGGGGCTGAGCTGATCCATCTCCATCTCATCTCTGTGCCTCCCTGCCTGGGTGAAATGGCTCTTTGGATGCTGTTTGCTTACTCAACTCCTCCCAGAAGTTGCTGTTGCTTGTTTTTCTGGGACCACACCCCAAACCAACCCTTTATTTCACCTGCAGCCACATGAGCTTGCATCTCCTCTTATATGTCAGCCTTCTGGGGCCAGGATGCCAAGTTCTGCTCCCCGAAAACCTCCCCTCTGCCTGTGCTTTTGGGCTGGAGGATGGGAACCCAAACTTCCCATGCCTTGATTTCCCCAGGAACACCACGGGTGCCTGGATGGGGCAGTTAGGGAATGTTTTCCAAGCCTTTTTGCTGCAGAGCTCCTGCAGCAATGACTCCAATCTCCCCTGCCGAGCCTTTAGCCTCTCTCCCTGGGTAATGAAAGCCAAGCAGCTCTCTGGGTGTCTCTGCGTGCCTGTAAATTCCTGGGGCCTATTAGGACCAAAAAAAAAAAGTCAATTTTCTTGTCTTATCCTCTTTCCTGGCCTTTAGGAACAGACCCAAAACCCGCAGCAATCTCCCTTTCCCAGCCACCTCGTTACCAACATCCTTGTGCATCCCAAGACTCGCTGGTGGTGTGGGCAAAGCAGCACTTCAGGCACACTTTGGCATCTCCTAATTTGCCCCATGCCACCCCTTTGTCCCCAGAGAGGAGGTGTTTTGTTGTGTGCAAGCAGCAGCCGAGGTGCTCAGGGGGGATTTGTTATCCCATCCCCGGGGGTACGATGAGGGCTGGGGGTGGATGTGTGGGATTTGCAGCCCCAGGGGGCCTGAGGGCCTTTGGGGGTCTGTATGGGAGGAGAAACAAGACAACAAACCACTGAGATGTGTGCCAAGGGAATCCCATCCAAGCCCTGATCCTGGAGTGGCAGCAGCTGAAACTCCCTTGGAATCTGGATGAGGGCAAACACCCTGTGGAAGGCGCTGCTGCTCGGTTTGCTGGGCCCAAATGCAAAATAAAGCTTCTGTTTCATCATCAGCCACAATAACTTGTGTTTCCTCTTTAATACTCAGCTGTTGGGGCTAAAAGTTTGGTCCTGATCATCCACAGCACATCCCTGGACATCAGAGCACCCCAGACCCACCAGCTCCTCTGCTGCAGCCACCCTGGGGATTGAATGGAAGGAAAAACTCTGAGTGCCCTCCATGCACAAAGAGCCACTAGCTGCACTTCCAGAGCCTGTTCCCAGACACAGACAGGCATGGCATATCCTGGAGGGGGAATTTTTCCCTGCTGCATGACAGGTTTTGTCCTAGCACGGGTCAGAGAAAGCCCAGCCTTGATGGGTTTCATCTAATTTCAATTACAGTCGTTAAAGCTTTTGCTCACATGAGCTGAGCCTGTCCAAGAGGCCTGGACTGACAGGCCATTAGGGAGAGGTTATTTATAGCAGGCCATGTTAATTTTACAGGATCACAGACCAGTGATTCAGTGCCTGGCGTGGCTGAGAGGAATCACTCACAGCAGCAAGTGGGAGCTGACATGGAAGCGCCTCCGCGCAGCCAGGAGCTGCCGGGTCAGAGCAGGCACAGTGCTGAGAGGGGTCACACCGAGGGGCTGGGGTGAGCCATGGGTTGGGGACCCACGTGGGGGATGCTGAATGATCAAATCATCCCTTTCAGGCCTAGTTTGGTGTGAATTGATGGGTTGAGACAGGGAGGAGGTGAAGGAAATCCAGGGAAATGGCTGATTTGAGATGCAGGGAGAGTGGACATGGTGCTGAATGATGCTGAAGGGAAGGGGCTCAATTCCTGCAGTACCCCCAGGTTTGTCCAGCCCTGATTTGGGAGCTGTAAAGAGCCCACAGTCTGGAACAGCTGCCTTTTCCTCCTCTCTGCTCCACAACATTTTCTGGAACCACCAGGATGCCCAGTTCTGCAAAAGGGCTTTGCTCAGCCTTTATCTGCCCCAGCAAAGGGCCTGGAGACACTGAATGAAACATGCTGGAGATGAGGGAGGAGGAGGAACAGACAAAAAATTATAAAACCTCCTGCATTGTATTGAATTCCCTTGAATTTTAAAGTGCTTCACGCTTGAAGCTTTCTGGGTGGAAGAATAGAAATGGAGAGAGGGAGAAAAGACAGGACAAAAAGAGCATTTCCCAGACATGGCAAAGGACAGCACGATTGCTCTGGCTCTGGGAGGGGCATGATCCAGATGGTGCTGGGGGACTTTTCCCAGAGGCCTGGAGCAGAGCCCTGCTGAGGACAGCAAGTCCAAGGCTGGCTCTGGGACTCTGAGGTCCTCTCTCCTTCTAACACCCACGGTAATCTCATGGTCATCCCAAAATGAGGGCCCAGCAGGGTTCTGGGGTGGCTGCAGGACAGGATGGTGGCAGGATGAGGGTGGCACGGGAATGCTGAGGACACAGCCATGGACAGATGGACCAGCTGTGGACAGAGGGACCAGCTGGCCACTGCTCTGCTCCCTGTGTCCCAATGAGCCCAGGAACACCTGGGAGAGGAGGGGTCATGTTCTAGTGTGGCTCTCCCAGGCCAGCCCCACTCTGCCACGGGGCTTTCTCCATGCCCACGAGTGATGGAGGCATCAGAGTGAAATTGTGGGGATTTTGGCCCAAAATCCTCATCATCACACCCTCCAGAGCCCACTAGAAAAGGGGGATTTTCTCCAGGAGAACTTTTCTGGAGATCTGGGCTGGCATTTTCCCTCCCAGGGGCAGAGAGGCTCCTCCTGCTCCTGCAGCCGGGCTGTGCTGAGCCACACACTGGCAAACAGCACAGACAAGCCAGTGCTGAGGGGA